CCTAGGTTCAAACCTTGACTCTTTACCACCTAATGATAGTAAGTTTAGGCAAGATGTTTAACCTTTCTGTGCTTAAGTGCCTTCACCTGTAAAAAGGAGACAGTCATAGACCCTGCTTCATAGAGGTGGTTGAGACTAAATTAGCCAATGGCTACAAAGCATTTAGAATAGTACCTGACAAACAGTAGGTACCTAAGTGTGTTACAGATTATTAGTAACAGTAGTAAATCAGTATTATTATTATTATATTTTCATTTATCTTCAGATAGAGCAGGAGGGAAAAAGTAGGGGGGGAGGGAGAATACCGGCCAGGGCAGTATTATTATTTTGAAATGCAAAGATAAATATTACAAGAAATAGTTAAAGGAGCTAAAAGTGGCTGCCACTGAGGAGAGGGATCTATAGGTGGAAGTGACAGTTCTGGAACTATTTTGGAGGGAGCTTTTTTTTGTTTTCATTAAAAGCCTTGTAGTAAAATTTGCCCTGGCCAGTTTGCTCAGCGGTTAGAGCGTAGGCCCGCAGACCAGAGTCCCAGGTTGGTTCCCGCTAAGGGTACATACCTCAGTTGCAGTTTGTCCCTAACCCCAGTTGGGGTCATGTCGATGGCAACCACTCATGTCTCTCTCACACCAATGTTTCTCTCTCTCTCTCTCTCTCTTCCTCCCTCTCTCCCTCCTGCTCTATCTGAAGATAAAATCCTCAGGTGAGGATAAAAAAAAAAAAGCCTTGTAGTAAAATTTAACTTTTTATATTAAATTACTTTGAAAACAGTCAGAAATTAATTAAAAGAAAAATTCCTGATTCTCATCTGAAACACAGATAAGCACAACTGTGGCTTAAGTTTGACAATATGACTGATACAGTGCAAAGGCCCAGTGGTAGTATTCCCTAACCCCACAAAGAGCTTTTGCAGGGCCCCAGCTGTGGCCTGAGGGCTGACTCTGCATTCACAGACCTATAAAGTGAACTCAGAAATAGCAGCAGCAGCAATAACAAAAAATCAAGAAACCCTCCAGGGCAGCATGTGACTGAACACCAAATGACAGTGCAGGACAGACCTCAGCGGCTGGTGTGGTCAAGAAAGGCTTTGTGGTGTGAAACTTCCTGGTGGTATGAAGGCTGGTAAGGCCTTGGAGAAGATGGCATTCCAGGAAGTGCTCAATGCCAGCCTGAGGAGTTGGTGTCTATTTCTCCAGCCCAGGCTATTTCTATTGATAGGATATTTTAGGGAAACAGATTAGTGTAGTATTTAAAAACCTGGTCTCTGGATCTGAATTCAGCTACCTCCACTGAACAGTTATGTGGCTCAGGCTAAGTTACCTAAATCTCCTCAAACTTCAGTATGCCCAACACCAGGAAAAGGACTGTTACATCTCAGGGTTAGTGTGAGAATAGTGGATATAGCAGCAACCCTCAGCACGGTAGAGTAAGCACTAAAAAATGGTAGCTGTTGCTCTATAGGATCAACAGCCTGGTCTCTTCAAGAATTAAATTCAAGGAAAATAAATGTTACAGATTAAAAGTCTTAAGAGACGGTCTGGCTGGTATGGCTCAGTGGATTGAGCATCATCCCATGGACTAAGAGGTCCCCGTTCAATTCCCAGTCAGGGCACATGCCCAGGGTTGTGGGCTCAGCTGATTGATGTTTCTCTCTCACATCAATGTTTTGCTCTCTCTCTCTAAAAAACTCAATGAAAGCATTAAAGAAAAAAAAAAGATAAGCCATTTGTTTATAAGTATTATAGCTGCATGCTAGATATATGTTATATGTATGGGGTTTACTGTACTATTCTTTCAGAAATGTTTGAAATTTTCCCTAATAAGTTTAAAAAATGTCCTGGCCAGTTTGGCTCAGTGGTTAGAGTGTCGGCCTGCGGTCCAGAGAGACCGGGGTTCAGTTCCCGCTAAGGGCACGTACCTCGGTTGCAGTTTGTCCCTGGCCCTGGTTGGTCATGTGGGTGGCAACCACTCGATGTGTCCCTTTCACATCAATGTCTCTCTCTCTCTCACTCTCTCTCTCCCCCCCCCACTCTATCTGAACAAAATATGGAAAAAAAATGTTCTCGGGTGAGGATAAAAAAAAAAGTTTAAAAAGAGCCTGGCTGGTATGGTTCAGTGGTATGGCTCAGCTGGTCAGAGTACATGCCCAGGTTGTGGGCCAAATTCCCAGTGGGGGGGCATGCAGGAGGTGGCCAATCAATGTTCTCTTTCATCGATGTTCTATCTGTCTCTCTCTCTCTCCCTTCCTCTCTCTAAAATCAATAAAGACAAAAAACAACAACACTTTTTTTAAGTTTACAAATAAATTAAGTAAACGGTAGTTGTTATGGTCACTATATTTTCATGGATGTATACTAGAATATAAGCAAGAATCATGGCTTATCTTTCTTGTTCACTCCCTTCCCACAGGGTCTAACTCTGAGTTTTCTTGGTATGGTACAAGCCCAATCATGTAAACCTAATCATATTTACTCACTCTCTTGCTTTTTAAAACACTTTGAAGACTTCCCTCTTTTCTAGAGGTAAAAACTCCAATTCATTAAAGGGCTGTCTACTTTTTAAAGGTCCTGCCTATCACTTCGGCCTCAATTCAGATCACTCTTCTCTTCATATTCTATGGTCCTCAAATGAGTCATACTCTATCCTACCACAGACCCTAGCACATGTCATTCCTACTGCCCATGACTTTCCTCCCCTCACCCTCTCTTTTCCTAACCATCTGTTACCTAATTAACTTATTTTTTCCTCAGATTACAGCTCAATCTTCATTAGTTCTTCTAAGAAGCTTCCACTGACCAGACTCCCAAAGCTGGGTAAATCTCCCTTATATACACTCCCATATGCAGTCATGTACCTCTCCTTCAGAGGACTTAGCACAACTACAATATTAAAATTTTGCTGTTATTGTTGATCAGTGCATCCCCAGCATTTGGCACAGGACCTGGCCTAGAGCAAATAACCAAGAAATATTTGTTGAATAAATCAATGAGTAAATAATGACTCACTGACTCATAATCTTCCCACTTACTGCCTGCAAGACCTTACTTAAGTGTTCTCCTTGAAATGCCTGGCATCAAAAGTCCTAGTCTTCTCACCAGTCATCTCCCACGTTGAAGGCATTAAGGCTCTTGGTGAAGCCTTGCATATTGGTGGGGCTGACTCTTTGCAGGAAATCAATGTAGTCCTCAGAGTGGAAGCGGCACATGTCATGCTGGGAGGCCTGGTATGGCTTGAAGACCTCAGAATGGAAACACAAGGTGAACCCAGGCAGGATCAGTCTCATTCATGGGGCTGAACCATCCACAATGAACCAGCCCTGGGGATTATCCAAAACCAGTCCCTTTACCCCAATCCTTGTTAGGCTATGAGGCAAAGGTCAGTGAAGAAGAGAGGCTCTGATAGCCAGGTGGTTATCAACTCCCTAAAGACCACTGGGCTTGCCTTTTCCTTCCCACCTCCAGCCCAGCCTTTCCTACCTTCTCAACCGTGAGCCCCAATCCACCTGCCCTGTTCCCAGGATCTCTGATTTTCTCCATACTCAATCCTCCCCTGGACTCTGATCCTGCCCTTTCTGTCTCTGAGTTCTTAATTTTGGAATCAAATAATATGGAATGTATGACAATCTTCTCATTAAAACTCACAATACTCAGGTGCTAAGCCAGAAATTTATTTTTTGAGGGGGTTCACACACTTCTTTAGAAATTAGGCAAGACCAAAAAGCCTTTCTCTCCCCGGAAAATGTACACAGGTACATACCAGCAAAAGATTTCAGAAATTCATGGATTCATGCACTCACATCACCTCAATCTTTTTTTATGACCCATTCACTTTCTGTGCCTTAGCAAAAGCAGTGGACAGTCATTCATACTATACTGTTAACTAGCTCCCCTTGCAATGCATGAGGGCTGAGCAGTAATGTTATAACCACTTAACACAGCTACAAATCCCAAGCTGGGGACAGACAGAATGCGTGTATCTGGGAGCCAAAGGGTTGGGTAGTGATTACCCATGTGGGGGTATTCTAGGTTGAAAAGGGAATACTCAGTACATCTCCTGCTCTCCTACACACACACACACACATTTACACATAGGGCTATGGTCCTCCCTGGAGCTCCAGCTCCTTGTTGGTGAGAAGGGTTCCAGAGGATAAGGGGTAGAAACTGAGGGTAAATCTCACATGCAGATATAGTAATCCAGCCCCCTCTCCATTCCCTGAGACCACAGCACTGCCCACATCCTAAGATGTTAGGGAGAAAAATACCTTCTGTCTTCAAACCAGCTCCACTACACCCTAACTCTAGGTCAAGTGTTAGTCAACCTGAAATCGTAGGGTGGCTGACCTAAGGTAAAAAAGCAACTCCCCTTAAGTCGATGGCTGCACTCACCAACATTCTGTATATGGGGGGGGGGGGGGGAGGTACTCCTGGTTCCTTCTATCCAGCCTCCCCCTACCCCCACTCTTGGGGTAGGTCTCACTTGGTGCATTCAGTGAGGCCTACCTAGCTCTAGGGCCTCAGCTCGCCCCCACCCTCAATCCCCAGTAGAGATAGTGAAACTCACGATCATCTTCTTATAGAGACCGTAGTGCAGAACCAGACTATGGGTCAGTGCCAAGCGGTGAGGCTTCATAGGGTGCCCAGCCCCTGGGGGGTAGAAGAGAATTCGTTAGTTTCCATCGCTGGAGTTGTAGCCTCAGCCTCGAAACCTTCTCGTCCCGAAACCCCTCGCGTACCACCTAGCTCCCTCACCGTAGTGGAAGTTGCCCACATCGGGGTCGTAGAAATAAGCCACGGTTTTGGCCATGGTGCCGGGACCAGGCCCCGCGCCTCACCCGCCCGCCCGGCTACCAGCCCCACCTCCCGTCGTACGTGCTGCGTAAGCACGCAGCCTGCCTCTGCGGAACCGGGAATCCAGGCCACGCCTCCCTAGACCACGCCCAGACCACGCCCTCTGCGGTTTGCGTTTCCCTGGCCTCGCTTTCAGATTCTTGGGCGTGAGCATCTGGGCTTGGACAGAGGACAGGTAGCAACGGTCCTAGGATGCGAGGGCCATTTCCTTCCGGGCGGGGGTTAAATCCTCGAGAAGCCGAGCCATCTCGTCCAGCCACCTGCCCCAAACGGGATTCAGGCCGTGGTCACTCTCTAGGAGGCTCGGGAGAATCGGCCACGCCATCCCGCTCGGGTACAGAAAGCCAGCTTCCCCCGGTCCACTGGGAAGACTCCTGGTTATCCACCCGGTCGGGGCATCAAAGGGCAGGAGCTGCGCCAGGCGTGCCGGATAGACTAGAGAACAGTGTTGTCTGACTGCCTATCCACCCCACCCGGACCCAGACTCGGCGCTGCACACTCCCCACCGGGGGGGGAGGGTGTGCAGAGCAGTCACGCGCGCACCACACTTGCGCTCACAAGCGCGCAAGGCCTTCGCTCTCTGCCCCGCACACCTGCGCCCCGCCGCCTGGTCCCGGGCCAGCGACTGGCGAAGGCATTTGGGAACCCAGAGTGGCTGCGGCGGCGCCCCCCATTTATTCCTTTCTCCCGGGCCAGAATTGTCGGGAACCTGCCGCCGCTCCCAACCAGCCTGCATCCCTCTCTATCCTTCCCTCCCCCCGCACCCCGCCCCGCCTGCCGCGGCACCGGTATCTGCAGTCGTAGCCCGGAGCCGGTGAGGTGGCGAAGGGGGAAGGGGAAGGAAGCAAGGTATGAGAGCCGGGAGGGCGTCGGGGGCCCTGAGCCGAACTAGGACACCCCTGGAGCCGGAGCCCGAGCAGGAGCCGGAGCCAAAACCAAACCATCGGTACCGGGTGGACCAGGTGCAGGATGGGAGGAACCGAAAGGGGGGAGGGTACTGGAGTACAGGCAGGTGAGGGGCTGCAGAGGCCTGGCTTAGGCCGGCGCGGAGGAGGTGCGGACGCTGACTCAGGCATGATTCTTGCGCTGGCCGCCTGAGAATTCCGTCCCATCTCGCTATGTAGTGTCCTTGGGAGGAAGGGAAGCGCAGGACAAACTGGTAAGGGGAACGCTGTGGGTGTCCAGGAGGCCGGACCAGGGAAGAGGGCTTGCGCAGCCGCGGTCTGGCATCCCTGGCCCCGACCAGCACCCCTGGCCCGGACAGCTCCCTGGTGGGTGGGGCCGGACCTCTGAGGCTTGCCTTTTCCAGATCTTGAGGACATTTCTATCCCTCCTCCCATCCCTAGCTGCAGCCCCCTAACCGCAGGAGGCGCCCTGGCCCGCGCTCGCCCCCCAGGGCCTCATGTCGGAACCACAGCCTGACCTGGAGCCACCCCAACATGGGCTGTACATGCTCTTCCTGCTTGTGCTGGTCTTCTTCCTCATGGGCCTGGTAGGCTTCATGATCTGCCACGTGCTCAAGAAGAAGGGCTACCGCTGCCGCACATCCAGGGGCTCGGAGCCTGATGACACCCAGCTCCAGCCCCGTGAGTGAGGAGCCTAGAACCTGGCTCAGTCACCTTTCTTCCTTACCCTTCTCCCCCACACCTTTTTCTGCTTTCCTGGACAACAGACCCAGGCCAAATCCCAACCAAGATTTCAGTAGACCTAGTGATGCTTTCTTGAGACAGCAAGTAGGGTGACACCACCCTGAAGGCAAGGCTAGAGAAGGCAGCATGGGTGGGTAGGGCCCACTGATGGTAATCTTGGGCTCTCACTGACTTTCTCATCTTTTCTGCCCTGACCCCTGAAATGCTAATGCCCAGCATGATGGCAAATAGGCACAAGGGTATGTCTTGAGCAGTAAGCCACAGAAGCCACCTGGTAATGTCCCCCAAAGCTGACTCATTTCCCAATTCCTTGCCAACCTCTTTCACACTTTCATCCTTCAGCTGAGGACGATGACATGAATGAGGACACAGTAGAGAGAATTGTTCGCTGCATCATCCAAAATGAAGGTGGGTGTAGGCCCCCCCCCCAACTTTATCTTGCCCTGACCTTCACCTCCACTGATTCTTTTCCTTCTTCCCTCAGCCAATGCTGAGGCCTTGAAGGAGATGCTGGGGGACAGTGAAGGAGAAGGGACAGTGCAACTGTCCAGGTGAGCTGGAAACAAGGGCCAGCATGACTTAGCTTGTCTTGGAGAGCACCCTCTCCTCCAGCACAATCCTCTCCCAGTCTCCTTGCATGTTTGGGGTGGGGGGAGGGCAAAGCTGGCTAACCTACAGGATGAAAGTTTTGCAGACATCTCAAGTCCTTCAAACCATACTTCTCATTTGGAAATCATCAAGCCTAACATTCACCCTTTGTGCCTCTCCTTTGAGTTAAGCATCTCCCTCTTTTTAGAAACCAGCCCTGGGAGGGAGAACACATGATCACTACCATCTTAATACTGAGTTTATTAGAGAAACACAGAAAAGAATGTTGGGACCTGAGGAAAGTGGGCATCTGGAGGTTTAAGGAGCACACTGAAAGAACAGAAACAGAACAGGAAGGGAAATGGAAATGTCACCCCTACTCCCTTCCTCCCTACTGTCCAGCGTGGATGCCACTTCCAGCCTGCAAGATGGAGCCCCCTCCCATCATCATACAGTGCACCTGGGCTCTGCAGCCCCTTGCATCCACTGCAGCCGCAACAAGAGGCCCCCACTTGTCCGCCAGGGACGCTCCAAGGAAGGAAAGAGCCGCCCCAGGCCTGGGGAGACCACCGTGTTCTCTGTGGGCAGGTGGGGACACAGTGCCCCAGGGCAAGGGAGGTTGAGGTGGGGGACCCAAGGATCAGGCCCCTGACTCCAAAGGTGGGCCCCAGCTCTTTTTTCCTGTACTGTGACCTACAGCAAGAGTCAGGTTACACAATGTGCCCCACAATCTGAGGAAGTATCCCCTGCCCTAGACCAGAGGGAAGTGACCATCAAACCCAAGATGTCCCAGGTTGGAGGGAAGGGCCAAGCAACCTCTCAGTTGTGATCCTAAGCCCCAGTGTTCCCTCCCCTCCCAGGTTCCGAGTGACACACATTGAGAAGCGCTATGGGCTGCATGAACATCATGATGGCTCCCCCACGGACAGGAGCTGGGGGTCTGGTGGGGGGCAGGACCCAGCAGGTAGTCAGGGGTCTGGGGGAGGGCAGTCCAGGATAGGGGTGTCAGCCATTGAGAGCCTGACCCCTGAGAGGCCACAGCCCCAGGCCGTCGCCAGCCCCCTAGTGCAGAATGGAAGACTCAAAGACAGCAGCCTAGTCCCTTGTGCACTTGAGGGGAACCCTGGAGCCTCTGCAGAGCTGATGCTGGGGACTGGAGGGAGGGGCCCAAGTCCAGGGATGACCAGTCAAGAAGCAAATGGACAGCCAAGCAAATCGGACACCTCAGATCACCAGGTATGAAGACATGCCCAGGGCTGCGGTGGGCTGAGCTCTTATTGCCCCCTACTCTGGGGATGGGGATGCAACTGATATAACCCACATCCTATTCTCCCATTGTTGACCCCTCCTCTCACTCAGGTGTCTCCAGCACGGGGAGCAAAGGGTGTGTAAGGTGAGTCTGCCTGGGCTCCAAATCAGATCATTCTCATCCTCCCACTCTCTGCTTACACTATTTAAGCCCATTGGTTGTCTCCCTGTACTCCCAGAGTAAACTGCAGGCTTAACCTTTGCTACATATTCTTTGGTTTGGTGGTGGGGAGAAAGCATGTGCTCCAGGGATAGGGGAAGTCCTGCAGACCCCAGGGAAAAGCTGGAATACAGCTTGACTGGGAGGCAACACTGTTACCCTTCCTCTCCTCCAAGCCTCCTTCTTTATTGCTGAAGAACTACCAGCTGACAGAGCCAGGGCATGGGTAGCCGTGAAGCCCCTCCTTTCCACTGGACAGCCCCCCAGCTGAGGGACCAGCCCTACTTCCACGTGGAATTGCACAGTCTCAGGCTGGGGAGACCTCGAGAGAAGCTCCCCATCCCCACCGCTGGCCCTCAGTTTCCCCCTTCCCCTCCCTGCCAACAGGCTGCCTGCCCAGCCTTCCCCATCACCTCACTCCATATGCTAGAGCAGCGGTTCTCAACCTGTGGGATGTGACCCCTTTGGGGGTCACACGACTATTTCACAGGGGTCGCCTAAGACTATCGGAAAACACATATTTCCAATGGCTATTCATAACAGTAGCAAAATTACAGTTATGAAGTAGCAACGAAAATAATTTTATGGTTGGGGGTCACCACAACATGAGGAACTGTATTAAAGGGTCGTGGCATTAGGAACGTTGAGAACCACTGTGCTAGAGCGTGGCAACTGGGAGCAGGCCCCTGTCCTTGGTGGGCCCCTAAAGCAATAGCACCTTAGGCCCCCTGCCCTCTTGGCACAAGAGGCCCAGGCCCTGGCTTGGGCGTCATGCCCTTTATTCATTGTCAATAAATCCGCTCAGACCATTACAGTTGTTTCACATACTGGCTCCAGCTCCTTCTGACAGGTCCACCCTGTCTGGGCCCCCAATCCTTACCCTGGCATCTGGAGTGGGGTGGGTCACAGAGCCAGGGTTGAGACACAGATGGACCAGAGCCACTCAGGACTTTGGGGGATGGGGTCCAGCCCCAGGAATTTCAGGGTGTTTCACCACCCTAGAACTGAAGTGGTGGCAGAAAAGAAAGGGGTAGTTCCAGCCCTAGAAATAGATGGCAAGAGGGCAGGCAATGGGTGGGGGAGGGGAGTTCCAGCCCCAGAAGTGGGAGAGGGGAATTTTCTACCCTTAGAGGTGAGAGTAGAAATGGGGGAGATTCCAGCCTTTGGCTGTATCACCCTGGATCATTGAAGGGTGGTCTCTGACAGCATGGAGGCAGGGGCAGCAGCAGCATCCCTGGGGAGCAGTGATCCCCCTGGCTTCAGGTGAGGGGATCTGGGTGGCCTGGATCCGGGGCTTTAGCTGGTGGAGGAGGCGGTGGACGCATCTGTAGGGAACACACAGTCAGTGCTCCAGAGGCCTCTACTGGGGATATCCCTGTTCATGCCCTCAGTCCTACAGACAAAACAGGACAAGTTGGAATGACCCCTCTCTACACAATCTCCAAGGGAAAGGCCTTACCGGCCTGAGTCGAGGCACCATCATGTCCAGGGGTCCAGAGCAGTCTAGGTCTTGGTCTGGAAATAAGACCACAAGTCAGTTTTCAGACTCTGTTTTGTTCACTGTTATATCTCCAGCACTTAAGACAACAACACTTACTGAATTAACAAACAGTCACCAACTTGGGCCATAAAATCCATCAATCTACCCAGCTTCAACACTTATGGAGCACTTGCTGCATAAGCAGCTTTGCTCAAGGTATCAGAGAAGGGGAGGAGGGATCCACAACACTGCCACCCCCAGTGGCTGTCAGGAACCCAACAACGAAACACAAGCCCAATGAATGACTGAGTGCTAAATCACTCCAAGTGAACTGTGGTGCAGAGAAGGGGGTGCAGAAAATGCTTACAGGGGTCTCCAGGGTCGTAAAGGGAGGCTCTGTGAAGAAAGTGCAAGTTGCCCTGGCCAATTTTGCTCAGTGGTTAGAGCGTCAGCCCGCAGACCAAAGAGTAGCGGGTTCAATTCCCAGTCAAGGGCATGTACCTCGGTTGTGGGTTTGATCCCTGGCCTGGTCGGAGTCGTACAGGAGGCAACCAATCGATGTGTCTCTCTCACAGTGATGTTTCTCTCCCTCCATACGTCCCTCTCACTCTATCTAAAAAAAAGAAAGTGCAAGTACCAGAAGGCTTTAGAAAAGATGAACATGCCAAGAAGGAAAATGATGACACAGACCAAGGTGTTTGAAAAACTCAAAAACACTTAAGAACAGAGGATGTGTGTTGGGAAAACACTGTGGAAGAAGCTGGCTAATTTTGAAAATAATAATGACAACACAAGTACTGCTTGTGTGCTTGCTATGTGCCAGGCACAATGCTGGGTACTCTACAGACATCTTTTTATCTCACAACAACTCCACTCTGTAAAGACCCAGACAGGTTAAACATCCCACCCCAAATCACGCACTAGGAAGTCACAGAGTGGAGTGTGAACACTGGGCCTGGCCCAAGCTCTCACCATCATGCTTCAATGAGCCTGATGGCAGAGGTTCCCAAGGACAGGCAGAAGAGCCAAGCATAACCCAGGCGTCCCAAGATTCCTCCTTCTTCCAGCCCCTTTCCCTCCCAGAACCCCTAGTTCCCACTACTCACCCCCAGGCAGGACAGGTGCAGGGGGCCCATCTAAAGCAGAGATGGGTGCAGGAGGGGAGAAGCTGGGAGGAGAAGGGGATGGCAGCATCTGAGGATGAGGGGACACAGTTATTTCTGGATGTGGGAAGGTTTCACCAGCTTGTCCTCTCATCCCACTTTCAGTTCCTGTCCCAGTACCAAGAGTGGCCAAATACTTGTATCTGGGTGGGGGCTGCAGCTGATACACATTCCAACAGTCAATGTGTACTGCCATTCTGTCCCAGACATTCTGCTAGCACTCCACATGCACCCATTCATTCATTCCCCACCACCACTCCACAGGGATAGGGATCTTTATGATTCCTATGTTAGGGGCAAGACTCAGGTTAAGCCATCTGTCCAAAATCACAGAACCAGTTAGTGGCAGAGTCCCAGCTAGAGCCAGGATCTCCTGATTCCCACTCCTATGCTCTTCCCGCTGCAATATAACACTAGGCACCATATTTTAAAGCACCTCCTGGGCCAGGCCTCTGTGCTAAAGGCTTTACCTCCATTGTCCCTAGTCAGGTTAGTGGCCTGCTAAAGTAGGCATTATTCCCTTTTTACACATAAAGAAGCTAAGAGAGGTTAAATCACTGTCCAAGGTAATGCAATAGGAATCTGAACTCAGATCTATCCAGCACTATGGCAGCACCACCAAACTCTTATGAACACTGCCTTGATTTCCCTTTTCTCAGCCCAGCCAAAGGAGGTGGGAGGCCCAAGCCTCTATAGGAGGTAAACCTGGACAGGGGAGGGAGCATTCAGATGAATATGGAGCCTCAGCGGGGTGGAGGATCAACCCAGAGGTGCCTGGGGACCTAGGGAGGAGGAAGCCTCACCTGTTCAGGGTCTGAGGATTCAGGTAGCCCTAGGGGACCAAGCATCTCCTCCACCAGCAGGGAGGGGAAGACCCCAACATGGCCCCCAAATTCTCCCCTCCAGAAGCCATCATCCACTCCATCCTGGACCCGGGGCAGCAGGCGAATGAGTGCCCCCTCAGGGAAGCTCAGCTCCTCTGGGCTCTGTCCCGTGTAGCTGTACAGGGCACGGGCCAGGAATGCTGCAGAAACCCAGGAGAGATGGGAAGGGGTGGAGGTAGTGCCCAGGACCATGACACCTTAGGCTCACAACCATTCAGTAACTCTTCTCCATACCCAGCATCCCTTGACCCAGAATTTTCCTTTCTTACCTGTGGGTTCTGCCCCTGAGGGATTGTTGCTGCCATGGCCGCTCTCAGGGAAGGAGAGATCCGGAAAGTTGAGATACCGCTCAGGAACAAAGCCTACTTCGCTATGCTGGTTCCGAGCCTGCTCACCCAGCAAGGAGAACTGATAAGGTTCGCAGCCTGGCCCTCCTCCATTCAGGCTTCTAGCTTTGCCTGGCTGGGTCCTTGTGGGCCACAGAGAAGTCCCTCCCACTGCCCTCATGCCCCCAAAGTCAGACCCCAGGGTCCATACCCACCTTGACCCATTCATCGGCATCTCCCTCCTCTATGACCTCCAGCCACTCGCCTTCTGTGATAGTCAGCTCATCTTCACGCCCCGCCTGGGTCCCACAAGGAAGGATTCAGGACTTGGCTGTCCCCCATCCCTGCCCATCTGAGGTCCCCACCCCTTTCACACCTGATAGCCAAACACCACATGTGCAGGGCAGGGGAGGGGTCTGCTGGCCAGAGCTGAGGGGACAGGCTCCTCAAACAGCTCTCCAGTCTCCTCACAATCCTCAAAGTCAGAAAGCTCAGCATCCTCAGCCTGGTGGCGGGGGGAAGCAGAGAACAGACATCACTGTCACTCTCAAATACCCATTGTATCTCCTACTCCTTCATCCTACCCTTGGAGGATCCTCCTCCAAGATAGTACCACCCATCCCCTCACCAGATATCACAAGAAAAATCACCACAGGGCAGGATAACACTAACAAAGACTGCAGAGTTAGAGTCCTGGGCGTTTACTATGTGCCATGCACAGTGCTAAGTATCTTATGTACATCCTCTCATTTAATCTTCATCATAACCCAGTGTTATTTTGTATAAATATTAACCTCATTTTACTTATAAGAAAATTGAGGCTCAGAAAGGTTAAGTCACTTTCCAAGATCACACAGCTAATAAGTGACTGGCTATTACTGGAACCACTTTCAGTCTGCCCCCAGAACTTTAGTTCATAGCCATCATCCTATACTCAATACAAGTTTGTTAAGAACTCTCTATGCTATAAACTATGCAAAGGATTATACTTAAATGATTTTATCTAAGCCTCAGAACAACCCTTTGATTTTGGTACTGTTGTGATTTCCATTTTATAGGGCTTTCGCTCCACTAGGGTGTTTTACCCTCCTGGGTATGTGTGGTTAGGGAGCAGAAGG